GAGGGACAGAAGGACAGCAGGAGGAGAGGAGGAAACGGAATAAGTAATGGAGACTTGGGATGAAATGAGAAACAGGATTGAGTTTGGAGAGCGCGCAGGGACAAAGTTGGAAGGAGAGGCTGGCGGAGAGGCAGCGAGTCTTTCAGGCCGGTGCGAGGAGGTCAAGAGCGCCGCGTTGACTGAGGTCGCCGCAGCAGCGGTTATTCTTGCTGCGTTTAAACACGAGAGCAGCTGGTTAAAGGCTCGGCGACCATCGTAGGACCTCTTTAAGTGCGATCGTAGCAGCATTGTTGGTGCCTCGTGTCAATCTGCGTCAGGTGAAGAATAATGGGGAGGGTATGAGCGCTGATGTGTCGAGGGGGTCGGGCGCTGCTGCTCGGTCATAAAAATTGAGGTTTATTTATCTAAATGTTGTCCTTGATTCAGTGAAAACGTGGCAAATAAAATATTTTCTATTCTGCTGCTGACGGATCAGGAAACGCACAAAGGAAGCATCACATCCAAACCTCATTATTGATGCTTGATTCCTGAGTTCATGGCGTCGACTTTGAGTTGAATTTTCTTCCTCTTCTCCAACTTTCACCTCCTCCTCTGCGTCTCTCGATCCCTCTCTTTCCGTCCGTCCTTCCTTTAGTCTCGCTGAATAGATCTGGGAAGACCCGTGTTAGTGTGGACACTTTCTGTCTCGGCTACACTAAAAAGCTCTCAGGGCAGAACCAAAGACCTTGACTGCTTTTTGAAGCAGGCTGTCGCTGTATAATCGGTTAGCTTCTCTCAGAGGAAGGGGCAACACACACACACAGTGTGCAGGAGGCAGGCAGCCCCTCATTACCGGGCACAGCCCTGCTCCCCGAGGACTGGACCCAGCACCTAATCCTGTATTTGTTCTTGGGGACTGTATCTGTGATTCTCCATTGAATGGAATATTAAGCACCAGGTCTTTTGTGGAGCGTGTAAGCCATTTGGCTCCACTCATCTATTATTTATCAGCCTGGCAAATATTTTATCAGCCTTAGCCTCTCATGACCCACTCTCATGTGAAGCCCCCCTATAAATGAAGAAAAAAAAAAAGGGTATCTTCTTTTTTCTTTTCAATTTATCCTCCTTTTACTTTTTGCCTCATCTGTTGTAAAACCAGGACAAGGACACGTGTGTGTGTGAAGCTGAATTAGAGAAGCAAATATGTGAAGTATTCCTCTGGAGTTCCCTTCGAGTTCGCTTATCTGAGGCGCGCTGCCGCTTCCACCGCTTTGGAGATAGCACATAAATGAAAAGTGAAATCTAGATTTGCTTTATAAATCATTATCTTAGTTTCAGACTCCCTTCTGGGCCGACTCCCCCACGCCAGCCACCCAGCCTGGGAAGAAGAGGAGCACAGAGATACTCCTGTTTTCACTTTCAACCTGAGAGTAAATCACGCCGGTTGGGGGGCTCACCTTGAGGCTTGGTGGAGATAATTGGAGTTGGTTAGCGAGGTGTTCTGAGCCATTACCTCCTGGTACCAGCGAATGGCTGGGGCTTGTCTCTCACTCCCAGAGGAGGGATACAGTAGCCTGTTGGCTCTGCACTTATGTGCGTGCACATGCATGCACACGTGCACACATGCGTGCACAACCGCAGCCAGATCGGTGACCTTTCCCGATTTTAATGGCCCCTCAGCATCGCAGGGCGTGAGAGTTCTGATCGTCACTTTTCCACCAAGCGCTTCACTTTCACACATTAATATTCATAGCATTGATTTATTTTCAGAATTAACAAAAAAACACAGAAAAATAAAAAAACCCAAACTGTTTGCCAGGGAATTAATCCTGACAGGAGCGTGGCATTGTTGTTTTATTTGAAGACAGCAGGAAGCAGGAATATGCATATGCAGATCCACAGAGCAAGACACCAATTAAATGTTGATTAAGTCTTAACTATTGTGGGACTGCGTGTGCGAGAGATTGCAGAGAGACAATTAAAACGAACGGAAAAAAGAGAAGACGTTGGCCAAACACACACGCTGGGAGGGAAACACACACACACACACACACGGGCTTTCTGTTGTGAGCTTTTCAGATGTCCGGGCTTGATCTTTGGGTGGATTCAGAGGGGTGGGGCCCCTCTCTCTCTCTGGCAGCGGTGGTTTTCAGCCGCCCGCTTTTGGCCGGTCAATTGTGACACCGCGTGTGTCGGCGAGCAGGGGGTCTCCTGGCAGTTGCGCGCGTGTGCGTCTGATAGCGTGTGTCCGCTTCACACATTGACTGTGAAGCTGCAGCGGTATAACGGCGGCTGCTGCTCCGGGGTCCCGGCGGTATTGGCCTAGCCCGCAGTCTCTCTTGGCTAACTCATGTTTCATTCTTTGGCAATTTGCCCTAATGAAGTCCCGCAGGAGCCCCTCAGACCTCTGTTCTCTTTCCATATTTAATCATGTTATTTTAATCTGGGGGATGAGCTAACGCCTCTTTCTGTGTGTGTGTGTGTGTGTGTGTGTGTGTGTGTGTGCGCTGCAGGTCATTACTGTAGCTCGGTTTCATGTGATGAGATGTCAAGAGGGAGATGCTGGCTTTAAGACAATGGAAGACAATGACTTTAATTCTGGGTGTAACGTTGGTTTGACAGTGTAAAAAGCTCCTTTGAAAAGCAGTGTCATCCTCACGTGATCGCTCCTCATTATTTGTTTAAAAAAGAGGTTAATTATTCTGTTTTTTCCCTTTTAATTTCCCCATCATCGTGGTCGGGGTAATTCAGATTTTTATGGCTGCTGTCACTGTTTTGGCTTCTTTTGTTGCGTTTGTGCAGGTCGCAGCACAATCACGACTCACTGACACTGATTTCAAAAGATTTTAATGATGAACTCTGACTCTTTAAACAAACGGGGTCAGGATCAGTGTTTTTGAGTAATGACTCGTAATGGCAGGTGCAATAGCAGCAAAATATTTTTGCTCTAATGACCCTCGACGAGTAAATCGATACGGAGACGGCGCTGGACGCGTGTTGGCTGCGCTGCCTTTCTTAGATCAATCTTTTTAATAGTTTTCTTTCACATCAGTCGTCTCTGCTTTCTCTGTCACGAGGTGGGAGGCGGGGCCTGTCAGCGGGCTCGGCCGTCAGAAACGGACAAGGATGCGTTCGCGTGAAACGACTGCATGTTTGGTTTATATTAAAGGACACAACAGGGTGTGGGCGGGGCCAGTGTAGTCATTTTTTAAAGTAATTTATTACTTAAAAGTCTCCAAACTGTTTCATGAATTTTATGTTGTTGCTCAAAGTTTTTCCTTTTAAATCTCTCGTCCTCACGTCTTCTCTCTCTTCCCGCAGTTAACTGCGTGTGTCCACGGCGCCGCCGCTTTGCTCTTCCCCCTGTACTGGCAGCACATCTTCATCCCCGTGCTGCCCCCGCATCTTCTGGACTACTGCTGGTAAGGCCGACCACCTCTGCAGCGCACACAGCAAACACCACGAGCATCAGCAGCGTTTTCTCTGCAGCGCACACGTGTGCAGACGTGCACGCCACTAAAAGCGCAGACGCTCGTGTTCACACGTTCTCCCGCCCGTTCTTCATGTTCTTGTGATTCCTCTTGTGGCGCGACTTCTCACGTGTGGCTTCCTCGACATAATGAACGATCGCCGAGCTCCATATTTCATGCCGGCGCCGCCGCGCTCTCATCATCTGGGCTCTCTCAGGGTTTCGTTACCAGCGATCCGACGCAGATCCGACAAATCTGGACGGACTTGACTGAAACTGGACGTGGGAGTCGCGGCTCGTCTGCAAAGCCGCACGTGCTCGAGTCGACGTCAGATCTGAACGTGTGAAGCGTTTGCAGCGCGGTTCCGTTTGTCCAGCGCTTCACCATAAATCACTGACAGGGAAATATGATTTTCAACACTCTGCAAAGACTCATCATTAACTTATTCAATCACAGCGGCGTCCTCCATGCGCTGATTAGATAATGCAATTACATGTGTGTGTGTGTGTGTCTCTGCTACACTGTTTGTGTAACTGGATCTGCGTAAATGTCGAACATTCATAAAACAGCGTCCAGACCTGCTGCTTGTTTTTCACTTTAAGCTGATTACAAGCCTGTGGCTGCTGAATCATTCTGCCCAGGAACACGCTGACCCCGAACTATCCGATTATTACCGCCTCTGCAAACCTCATCGTAAAAACGCTTTCTATTATTTGACTGTTTTTGTTGGTTTTCATCCTCGTGCTGATGGCGAGCGGTCCGTGATTCAACTTTTCCTTTCCGCAAACTTTGAAAACGAAGATATATATCACAGCAAATAAGGACGACATGATAATAACCCCGAAAAACCCAAAACACTTTATTTTTTATTTTGTTTTTGAAAATAAAAATAAAACTCTTGACACATCTGCCCTTTAACTTTCTGCACTTCCTGAAACTATCAGTCGACTTGGAGAGAAAACAAGCCTGAAATGTTCCACTGATGTTGTTGTTTTATACTTTTGTTATTAACCAC